GTGACGGCTTAACAGGAGCCGCTACGGGCTCCTGAAATGTCGCAGTCGAGTAGCCCACGCGGCACCGTCAACTTACCTCTGCCTTGCGGGCCTTCAAACTGCTCACTTCCAACTCCAGCTCTCCCATTTTCCGCATGGATTCCTCCAAGTCTTTGACTTTCTCCTCCATGTTGGAGCACTTTGTGATCAGATCTTCCTTCGCCCTCCTGTTACGTGACATTCGCTGCCGATGCAGTTGTCACTCAGGTGCTCTTACAACAACTCCTCCTTCTCTCGCTGGAGCTCTTCCACCAGCTTATGCGCCTCCTGCCCCTCCTGCTCGCTTTTAGTGAGATTCTCCTCGAGAGTCTTCAATCGTCTGTTCCTCTTCTCCATGTCGGCCTCGAGCAGCTTGAGGTCCTTTGCCAGAGCCGCCTCGTGCTTCAATTTAGCCTTCTCACTATGCTTCACTGAAGCCTGCAAGCCCGCCTGTTATCCACACCTTCTCCCTCGCCCTACTTCTAGACGACGGCGCTCCTCCTCAATCGCCTCCAGCTGGTCCCGAGTACCGTCCAGTCTGGCCGAGGCCTCCCTCAGCTGAGGAGAAGGCCCTGCCGATGTCCTCTAGCCAACCTTACCATAGCTTCATAGTGTTCCTGCATAGTCGCGACCATCGCCCTCAGCTGCCTCACCTGCCTCTCGCACTCCCTATGCTCATCTCCCTATAATATCATCGGAGTCATCATCACGAAAGCCCAACCATCTTACCTGTATTCGCCGATTCGCTTCCGCAGAGTCGTTTTGGGTAGATAGGCTCTCGACAGCCTCGACCTGCTGACTCCGGCTCAAGCTGCTCCTTCCTCCCCCAAGCGGCTCTGACGCTGCCTTCTCCTGACGAGCTCACTCCCTGCGATTGAGCCACTGCCCATCTACCACCCTTGATCCAGTCGATCGTGATGTATCCACCCACGGATTTCTCAAGTGAGAAGCAGACCGCCTCGTGCTGTGTTGAGCCAGAGTACCACCTGACAGACCCAACCACTCAACCCAATAGAGCACAG